GCCTGTAGAATTTATTTCTATGATTACTAATTAAACATTTAAGTCTTCAGAGACTATCAAGATAAAGGGTATGGATTCACTGTTTTGAAAGAAACTTTCATATGGAAAGTAAAGTATATGTATGAAAACATTATTAGTATACCTACTGATTTGTTGTTTGTTTGTGTGTTTAAAAAAGCCATGAGAAAAACTACAATGATTTACACCTCTTACAATGATATATTCATCCAGACAGCTAAATGGAAGAAAGCTGTACTCTTCAGATTGTCTCTTGATCCAATACAGTGGGTCAGAAAAACAATTACAGCAGTATGAATGAAAAGGATATACTTTGTTTAGCCTACTTACCTAAGGAAACCAGGCTTCTGAGATCACACTGACCACCCCAACACCCCTTGAATAGAGCTGAAGCTTTCACTTTCAACCAAATTTGACAGAGAAAAATAAAAAAATTAATAAATTTCAGTCTCTATCAGTGTCATGGAAACAGATGGTTAAGGCTGTAAAGAAACATCCTCTTTAAGCTCCCACTAAATAAAAGGCTATTAAATTCAGTAAACCCCAAATTTAATGACTTCTGTTCTTACATAACCCAACAGTACACTGCTGAACACCTCACTTATGGCTCACATATAATTAACATGTTATACACCTAAACAGCTGCAAACTATACAGGATACAATGCAGAAAAGGGAACCCCTACACTTTTTGAGAAGGTCAAAGCCCCGTGAGTTTCAGGCAGGACTCTTTGTACCAGGCTTAAAACAGAATGAAAGGAACAAGACAAAATGGATAAGCAACATTAAATTTTTCATGAAGTTTATCTCAAAGTCAGTAAGGTAACTCCCACTTAGAGTTAATGTCTTATTGCTTGTAGACAAAGCAGCATTTTGGAAATTTCAACTACACATTGAACAGGTGCTACAGGAAACAATGATGCTGAAGCCTATACAGTGACTGTCAAATAAAAACACAAGAAAGCCCTCCAAAATGCTGAAGACCTTAACAAGAAACACAAGTTCCTCATCTTTGCACTCATTAATAAGTATTCACTATAGTCAATTTGAATTACTGTTGAGAGTTTCAGGGGTGAAATAGGGGTTAATGAGGCTAAAAGAAACACATGAACAGAGATGACTGTACAATTCTCAAAAAATAAAGCAAAGAGTATGCAAGAAGCTGATTTCACATAAAATTAGTGGCAAATGGAGAAAAGCCTCTACTTTGCCTAAAACTAAAACACTGCTTCACAATCAGGTGTGACTGGGGCTTCTCAAGGTACACTATTTCCACATGTGTTATCATAATGTGACACACATCCTTTGCTCATTACTGTTAATGACAGTGAAAACCTCCTATAATGAACTGTAAAAGAATGTATCAATGAAACTGAGATAAACTGACCTTTCCCCACACACCCATATTTATATAGCAGTGATTTTTTTACACTGACAGTTCTGTAAAATAATTTTTGAGTAGAATAATCAAGATTATGATGCTTCTTGTGTTCTTGTGAAATCATTCAAATAAAGATTCCATGAGCTATTCCTTCAGTTGTCACCAACAAGAGGTGCTCTGAATTCAACCTATTACAAAAGCAAACCATCTCGCTACGGTATTCAAAGTAGACATTAAATTTATGTGCTGCATTATTAAAAATAATTTTCATTCCCACTAGCAGCAATGTAACCCTCTTCCCACTTCTCTGCCTAAGAGGCCCTAATCCCTTCTTTGTGGCATCACTCACCCTCAGCAAGCGTGACGCACCAGCCAAGAAGGCTGCTCAGGACAAATTTTGCATATCTGATCAACCAACAATTTCGGTTGTTACCCACCAATTTGAACAGAAGGCTTTTCCCTGTCAGTTCTGCCCACCCATAGCCAAGTGTCACCAGGTTCCACTGAAGTCCCAGATACCGCAATGTCTTTGCAGGGACCAGCAGGCTGCTGTTGGTAAACACTTTTTTTCAGATTTTAAAGTGGCAATCACAGAGAACTTCACAGAAAGCAAGCCAGTGAAAGCTCTACTTACCATTAAGTTCTCCCTCCATGGCACCCTTTCTAGGTCTACTCTGAACTATGAATGAACCCACACTCCTTCCCAAAAGCCTCTGAGATCTTTTGATCTCAGTAAAAGCAGGTAAGAGTGATTAACACATTTGTATAATACTAATGTATCTGGGAGCAAACATCTGCCTATCTGAAATAACTGTATAGAGTCAATAATTTTTTATTCCAAATAAAAATGATGGATATGAAGATCACTGCAAAATGGACAGTACTTTGCAAAACAACTTATACTTTCTTTCTATTCATCATTACATTTTGCCACATTTTCTCTCTCACTCTTCTCATCTCCTTGGGATAAAAAAATATTCCAAGCCATTGTCTCCTAATCTTTCAAGCTTCAAAGTCAAGCTCCAAAGGAATGATTACAACCACTACTTTCTTCATTTGTATGCCACTGCAACCCAAATGCAAAAATGACAACATACTATGGCAAATCAGGCCCTCATACTGCACTGCTTGTCCTCTTCCTAAAATGCTGCAGGTTGCCTGCTTACCCTCCAAAACAAGCAGGATGAAGATGAGCTACATGCCACACACTGTTCATGCTGTTCTGCAGGCTCCAAAATGGGATTAGCACAGAAAATGCGAGAAGACCAGGAGGCATATTTCCATATTTAGCCATGTATGTTTAATACTGAGTTAGATTTCACCTCAGTGCATTATTCCATTAATCAAGGGCGGGTATAACAAGAGAGACATAGACTGACATCAGCTACTTTTAAAATTTCTCTTCCTCTTCCCCCCACCTCCAGCTTCTATGACACCATGCATTGTGCATTTCATGTGCATTCATGTGTGCAAAGAGCAGAGACTTATCTATAAAGATCAGTTATACGGTAAAACTGCAAAAGGAAACTTTCACCCTTGTCCAGCTGGTTGAATAACTGCAGAGGCCAACAGCAGCAAGCCTCTAAATACATCCTGTTCTTCTCCCTCCACCCCCACGTCTCTAATCACTTAGGAGGAAGATAGGAAGATTAGCAGAGAGGAAAAAAAATAACCAAAGCTGCAGATAACCCTTTAGGACCACAACGTCAGGCTATAAGAACATGGAGCAAAAGGTTAATGCAGCCGTATTTTCAGGAACCCCAAGCACAATTGTATTTAAAGGGGAGGGAGGGGTGCTGAGAATGTGAGACAGGGAGAGAAAAAAGGAAATGGTGATGAAGGCAAAAATGAATTTGTCATCTACAGCTAGCTCTTTGATCACCTGGAGTATCCAGGAAAGGATATCAGCAGAAATAGGGTAGTTTTATTAACAATACACCACAATTTTTCTTGTATCTTCGTTATCATCATCAGAACAGATTTTAGTAAGAATACAGCTGCAGAAGACTTACTGAGCTATGCCAAGAATAAAGGTGGTACCTAAAACAGTGACAGAGAACTACCTTTAGCAGCTGATACACTGAAGAGATTTGAAAAAAAAAATAAAATATAAATAAAAGTCACTTCCACTAGAAGACAATGTCATCTTCATCCATGTCTCTGAACGGTTGCTATGGGGTTGTGAAGAGGAGGGGAAGGATGGGGGGGAGGTTATAATCAATCATCTCAGAAGAGCATTGCTTCTTACAGAGAAAGATCTGGATTTTGACTGTGTCCCTAAGAAAATTGCGGACTGCAGAGCTGCTGCCACGCAGGGCAGTGAGGAAGCAGGCAGAGTAGAGGCAGCAGCTGGGGCTGGAAACGCCTATTAAATCCTTTAGACAACAGATGGGCAAAGCTCGGCTGGGTTATAAAAAAAAAAAAATACACCACAATGCATCATGTTTTATTGTCCCACCATAATGAACAACACTTAACACCCACATGCCCAAAGAAGCCCCCCTAGAGCTGATCTCACCCCTTCCCTAAATAATAATCTCGAGTCTCAATCCACTTTTGGGGGGCTCCCAGCCCAATGAATTTGCCAGATGCCATTGCTTATTGCACCTGTTACTAAAAAAAAAAAAAATAAAATAATAAAAAAAGGAAGACATTTGGGCTTCATTTTAAGCACGTTTTTCTTCCAATTAATGCTCCCTTGCCCTTGAAGTGAATATGCTATCCATGCAAGCAACAGTAAGTCCAGATCTTGAACGCATTCAGGGGATCTAATTATGTCATGTAGGGCAGAGGCACCTGCTCTCTGCTAATTCCCTCCACTCCGTTTCCTCTTTTTAATATTTCTTACCATTGTTCCATTCAGGAAAATCTGCTGGGGGCGAGTTTCATAAACAAGCTTTAAGAAAAATAATTAAATAACCTCCCTTCCCCCCCTCCCAATCCCTCCTACAAAAACACAGCATAACCAGAATGAATTCTGCTACCAATCCTCTATTTTTCCTTTATTTCAGACTCTACCCACAAAAACCACTAGCCCATCCATCCATATTTGCTAAATACCCACAGCAGTCAGTGCCAGAGACATACCATACGTATTTCCACCTCCCCCCCTCAACTGCACCTTAAGGACTACACCCTTTTCAATCATGATGTCATGAAATACTGCTGGTGACTCCCCCAATACCACCACCACCCCCTCCTCGGTACTACAGGCTGCGAACCTTTAATTTCAATATAATTTGATTAAAAAGAAAATGCTCCTAAGTAGGGCAGTGAAGAAATGGATGTGAAAATTCACCACCAGCAGATCATCTATTTTTTCCTCTGCATGCACTCTGCCTGTCATTAGAACAACACCCATTAGCAGGAGTAATGAACATAAAGCATCCTGGGCTTTTTCTTTTCTTTTTAAAAAAAAAAAGAAAAAAGAAAGAATTAAAATGAAAACTAAAAATAAATAAAGACAAAAATCCCTTACGAATATTATCTGCACTAAAACAGCAAATGGGAAAACCTGAACCCTCAAATATCCCATCCCCGACACCTCACTGGCTGCCACAGCACCTTCCCTCTAGCACCGGTGCTGCTGCAAAAGAACCAACCTGTTTGTCCTTTTCCTAGGGTTTTCTCCAAACGATAGGGTCCAACATATTGTGCATGTTGAGCTCCGCTGCCTTCTTTCCCTGTTGATGTCATTTCTACCTGGATCTGTAATTCTGCAATGTGTATGTGCTGATGAGCTGGAATTTCTCTCTCTGCAGCTCTTTAAATTCCCACTTTGCAGCTGTGCAAGCAAAGCACTCTTTTTCTCTGCTTTAGTCCCCTTGGTTGCAGATTTTCGTCTTCCTCCTCTTTCTTTCCTCTCTCACGTGCGTGTTCTCTCTCTGGGTCTGCTTGGGACGCTGAAAGACGAAAGAGTTATTTTAATGTTCAAAGAGGGGGATCTACGATCCAAGCCCAAGGAGCATGATGCTGGTGATCGGAGCTCCGCACGCCTTGTTCTCTCTGGGAGCTGTTCAAGGGAGAGCCAGAGCTAGAGCAGCGGAAGAGCCGGGGCCGCCGCTGAGACTGACATTAAAAGCAGCCAATCCCTCGTCTCCCACCTTCTTCTCCCCTCCTCCTTCCACTACCTTTTCTTTTCCATCAGCAGCAGTTGCTGCCTCTGCCTGCTACAGAGCATCAGGACCAATGGCAACAGCAAACACCTAAGTTCATCTGCCTATTGATAAGGCACAATTAAATATAGTTTAATGTGTATATTATTTTAAGACCCAAACATCCACTTTTTTTTTTTTTAACTTCTGAATTCTTTTCCACTATGCAGCTGTAGTTGCAGATTGTTAAAGAAAAGGCAAGACTGTGGCAGGAAATAGGAAAGGGGGAAAAAAACTACTTCTGAAAATAAGCTTGGGAAATTCATTGATTCTGTTTGATTCTGAAAGACCTATATCTCTTGGGGGTTTTATCCTTTATAGAGAACCTTGGGGGAAGGAGGGGGGTGAAGAGAAAAAAAAAGATAAAAATAATAGGGGCAATCCTGTAACCAGTGAACTCAGTGACAGACCTGCTTTTGAATTTTATGGGAGCAAATAAACTTCAGGTCCTTAGATGAACAGATTAAAAGTGGCACAGCCACTCTCTTAATTGGAAACGCAACCAAAAATCCAGGGATTCGATGATAATAAGACTGATTGCTAGATCCCCAGGCTTCATATTAGCAGTGTAAGAAAACTTTTACTGATCTTGTCCAAGTATTTATGCCTGTCTTTAACCTTCAGAGCTTAAGGAGCTGGATGAAAGAAAAGATTCTGCAGATTTGCTTCCAGTTCAGCACAAGCCTGTGTATTTTCTGGATTCAGTACAGTTTCAGTCAGACTCCAGGGCTATCAAGCTGAAACCATTACCAAGTGCCATTTTTACCTTCTTTTCCCTGTTCCACTCCAGACTGAAAACTCATCAAGATATTCCTATTCAAATTCCAGCTGAGCCACAGAGAGAGCAAGCATTCTTAAGTCAGAGAAGGAAGTCTTAACAAGCCTATAAAAGGGGGAGTAAAGAGAGGGCAAAACTTGAACAAGCCTTATCTGTTGCTCACTGAGAGAAGACTATTTCAGGTTTATTTATTTATTTTTTGAAGATGGAAATTTACTTTGTTTTAATACTTATATCTACAGACAGCAGGTGCTCTTGTAATTTGGAATAAAACTAGAAATTGGCTCTTTACCTGTGCCACAGACAACACAACTCTACTTACCAAGTTGCAGAGGAGTTAGTAAGATGAGGAGGCAGGAAGAAACCAGGCTAGTAGACTGAAACCTTAAACCAATTCCAAGGTATCCTTCTGTCTGCTCAGGAAAGAAAACACCAACATTTGCTTTGAAAGGAAAAGCCCTGCTTTGCTCTTTATGGTTTACCTTTACTCACTTCCAGACTGTGTCACTGTAGCAACCTGCCAGCAAACTCCAGAACACCCCAAACCATCTCCATTCCTCAGCTTCTCCCTCCCTTCACCCTGTGTGACCAAGCACCAAGACTCCTTCCATGCTGAGGACTGCCTCTGTGACTTTCCAATGGCACCCTCTGTCCCCTACAGCCCCTACAGGTGTTTACTTCCCCCTTGCTACTAAACTCAACTCCAAATTGCCACTTCTCCAAGCTCCCTTCCCTGTATCTTTCATTAAGCGTTATTCTTCCCCCACCTCACCACAAGCCCATCCTTGCTGCCCCACACATTCTCCCCTCAGAGCCCTGGTGTGTCACCTCATGCACATGATCCTGCAGCCCCTCACCATGGAAGGAAGGAAGTTGGGGAAAACAATGCCAGCAACCGGGATGGCACGTCCCCATGCCATGCTCCACTCCCCTCTGTCCTGCAGCCTCTGGGAGAGCCTCAGGACCAGAGGAGGGGACCAGAGAGGATGCAGTGGCCCTGCTGGCAGCCGCAGTGATGTGGCAGCTTTTGCCACCCAAAGTGGCGAATCAGGGGCCAGAGGGCAGGAGGAAGGCTGTGTGAGCATCCCTGTGGAGAGGTGTAGGGTACGGTAGTAGTACCAGTAGCTGAACAGGCAGCTGACAGGCCTATGAGACCTGTCCCATGGCCAAGGGATAAGGCACCACGTGCCCTTAGTACAAAACAAACCTGCCCCAGGTGTGGTGCAGGACTCGGCCCCTGCAGCACTGACAGACCCGTGGGCTCAAAAGCCCAACCACAAGGCCCAGACACGTCAGGATGGATTCAGCAGGACAGTCTGATATGTCTTGTGACATGGTTGAAAAAAATGCCTCTGAAACTTGAGGCACCCATGCATGACTCAGAAGCCTTCCTTTCCCTATGGCTTCTGAGCCAGGATTGGGCTGCTCAAGCTGAGGCACCGTGGTGGGAGAAGCGCTCTCCCTGCTGGGCTGTTGGCTACAGAAATCAAGGGCTGAGGGGAATCAAAATGTGTCATGGTTTCAGACCCTTCACTCCCCATAAATGTTTGACCACTCCCACTGTTAAAAGGCCCCTACACAAACAGCAAGGGACAACACTTAATTACAGGAATGTGAGCATAGCTTTTGGAAAAAGGAAAATACTGTTGATTTGTATAAATTAGCAAAGTATCCACACCACCATATTAATAATGCAGAGAGTGAATATCAGCATAGATCAACATCTTTTTTAATTCCAAGATTTGTATTTTAAAAGGCATTTAAAAGGAGATTATGATGTCTGTATGTAGCTGAATCATATCTGGGTCATGATATTAATAGAAAGATGAACAATCAGACAATATTGTCCATCCAAGACCAAACTTGTGTACAAACTGTGAAGTTTGTTTCTGTTGGGCATTTGAGAAAATGAGTTACAGAGACAGAGATGTTACAAATCCCCACCTTCTGTCACAAAATATGTGTGAATGTCACGGCTGGAATAAGGTTAGAAAACTTGGTGAAGTTCATATGATCCTGACTAGAAGATCAGTGAGATTAGAAAACAAAGCAAAACAAAGAAACATACACATGCATGCACAGAAACACTACCTCTCTCCTCTTCCCCTCCCCCACCCCTCCAAACTCCCATATCTTTTTGGTCTCATTTAGTTATGTTATTTTGATTCCATAGGAATATTCTTCTGTATGGCCTATTGCAATAATTTTGACCTTTTGTCCTAAACTGTTTTTGAGAAAGTGTTTAGACACTTCTTGATTCCTGAATAATCAAATGTTGTTTATTTTATTTGTTCATATAGAGCCAAATCCCATTTATCTGTACCCCTTTGATCTGAAACTCAGTCCTTTGAATCTAGGTTATGTCCCCCTGGTGTGAATTACTTATACAATAACTCCCTCAATTATGTGAAGCCCTGTTTATCCAAATGTTTTGATGTTCCAAGAGTATTTTGAATAAACAGGACTCTGCTGTCATTGGATGTATCAGATATCTTTGGGGATGCATACAGGATGGTTTCCCCTGACCTTATTCTGTATTATCTTGTGTTTAAATGAACAAGCAGTGTGAACTTAAGTGTATAGTTAGCATATTGACATAATCTTCAGTACTTTTACTTGTTTATCCATTAATTATTTTTCTTTCATTATTCTCATTTAACAACTAAATTTCACTCAGGAAGGACTCAACACAGACGCCAGCAAAAATTTTGCTTGAGTATGGAGTGAATAAAAAAGTAATGATCTAGAATTTTGCTTAGTTTTATCACACTTCTGGAAAAAAAAAGCAGAGCAAATTATTTGCATTTTTCACCCATTCCCATTTTCACTAGCTTGTATCTGATGGAAGTCCTCATGTTCATTTGTTTTCTTAGATGCTTGCCATTGCCTTTCCTCTTATTCCCATGAAAATATTAAGAGTCACGATGGATCATGAAATGGTGTAAGAAGCTAGAGGAAAAAAACATATCCATGAGAAAGTTTTTTTCAATATTTTTCACTTGTTCAGTTGAATTCTCTGTGGAATTAATAATGAAAAATTAACAAAGGAAATATAAGGCTTCCAAGAAAAGGCACTGATAAGCTTTTATAATTAGCATAGAATAAATGAGTTGACTTTTTGTGGTAAGAAGAATTCACATAAGTTAGGACTTTGTCTCCAATTAGAATAACTTGATAGCTAATGCCAATGACAAGCACATTTTAAAGATAAACAGGAGAAAAATATTCAGCATTTTCAATGTCAGGATCCATAATCACATCCTGAATTACATGTTCCATCCACATACCTATGGATACATGACACCCCTTTGATAAGTGCTATTGGGATTAAGACATTTTGGGAATTAACCTCCATAATAAAGTGAGCCAGATATTTGAGAGACATTTAGTCACCAATACTGTTGACAAACTGATAATACTTTTATTGAGGATAATTGTATCAATCTTCAATATCTCCAAACAGATGCTAACAGTCTAAAACTGAGAATTTTCCCCCTTGTATTAGATAGCTACCTTTTTCATAAAAAGCTGAGGTAGACCATAAGAAAAGAAAGTACTGGATTTTAGTAAGTGGGTGGTGTTTCAAATTCTTAGAACACCCTCAGAGTTCAGATACTTTTTCTACTATAGCAAGGGTTGAGGAACTTCTGCTAGTTAACCTTGCTATCTGGAAGACAGTGCTTCCATAAAGACTCCCACTTCAGCAGCTCCTAAAAAGGTCCACATTGCTCAGCAGAGGTATACTGTGGTAGCAGTTAGACAGATGCTTTGGAGATTTTACTGTTGTTGTTGCTATTATTATTGTTAATAATAATTTAGCTATTATTATTAGGATTCCTGGTATTCTACATATTCTTGTAACTAATTTTAAGGTTCACCTAGAAAAATGAACTGTTAGCTTGTTATCTACATATCATCTTTGTTTAAAGCTGGATTGAGGTAAAGGCTTGTAAAATATTTAATAACAAAATAGATAACTGCTTTCACAGTATCATTTTCTCTGGACTGCGGTCTCTCTTTATTCCTTTGGAAATATTGCTGTCATTTTCTCAAGCCTGCTGCTGTCATTACCTGTGCCTCACAGAACTGTTAAACT